GCCCACTTTATACTTCAACAGTAAATTAAAGGTCTTCATTAGCTTGTTTGATAGTTGAATAAAATGCTTTGAAACAATGGCACATAACTGCAATCAGCAGGTTTCTGGTTGCTAGAAGGAAATTAGCCTGGTAAATCACTCTTTTCAATTAAACAAATGGGTAATTTTTCACAAGCAAGCCCAGAAGCTACTGTTTGGGAAGCTTTTTTCCCTTCATTTTTTTGTATTTTACATGATTATTTAAATATTTTTTTTTAAGAAAATGGTCACTGAAGTCTAAGTCAGCAGCTTGTAAATCTATCCTGTCTGTCTGCCTAAGCAACCTCAGAGAGGTCTCATGATCAAGCAGTGGTCAGTGGCCTATGAATTGTACTTCCAAAATGATAATAACTAGTGGTGTGACCTTGGTTCATTGTCTGTGTTTCTGTGCCTTTGTTTACCTGTTTGTCTAAAGAAGCATTACCCTCCCTGGGTCAAAAAGGCCTGTTTAACTTAAGCATGGAGTTTCAGGATAATTATAGTTACTTAGTAACTTTAATCTCAGAATATACTGGTTAAGGCTGTTAGGAAATGTGGTGGATTCCCTTTTGGTCAAAACCAGACTTGAAGACACCTCCAGTGTTCAAAGCTTTAAACACAGCTTGCATTCCAAAAGTACTCTCTGAGCTTAGAAGCTGGAACAGATTGTGTCCTTAGGTACCAAGTCTGAAAGGGACCCCAGAAATGACCCTTGTTTCACAGCAGGGCTATAGATGTGGTGGGAACTTCGTCTGCTCTGTCTACTGCAGAGCAGCAAACACTAGTATAAACAACTGCAGCACTGGATTTCTCTTGCCTTGGGCATATTTATCCAGGGTATTGCCATTACATCATTCCCATTAGGACTTGTATTATCTGCTATTTCAGATCTTAGAAGCTGTTAGAAGCTCTAGTCAGAGGTCAAGATGCTGTTGAACTTCAGATGTTTCTGAAAGAAGAGCATAATTCTGCCAATAGCAGAGCAACGTTAGATCTGCAGCAGTGCAATGTCATGCAAATGGTGAGGGAGTTTAATCTAAATTATATTTATTTGCTGCAAAATGAGGTTTTATTGCCAAAAACTTAGATACTGCATGTTAAAATCCATTTGTAAGAGGCTACCATAGCTTCATCTTTGAGACGTAAATAGAGTAATTTGGGGATTTTTTTTTATGGTATCAGAAGAGACCACAAACGATTTAAGAACTTCCTTCCATCATCTAAATAAAATAATACTGAAATATCCTGCCATAGTTTGGAGTAACTGCACAAAACATGATGACTCACGTGATTAGAAATTCTCTTTTATTTTTCCTCAGTGCATAGTGTTGATCTTCATTAACTGTTTCTCACAGTATGTAATTATGTTCCTTTCACCTAAACTGGTTCTACATTTTTTTTGAAATTTCTTCCTGAATCCTGATTGTTACTGAGTGTTTCAGTTTGTCTTGGAAGCAATCTGCATGCAGAGACTTGGGTGTTGGCCTGCAGTGAGCTTTATGTGAAAGTTTGAATTCAGACTAAATTCTGAGTAACAAGAGCTAGAGTCTCTTAAAGGACTCTTGGTGGACCTGTACCTTGCTGAGATGAATGTTCAAGGCAAAAATACAGACCATCTTCTTGAATGCAGGCTTTTCATAAAACACTGTGCTCCTTCTGAAGGCCTCACTTCTACACAGATTGCTCCAGGGCAATCTGAAAGTGGTTCTTGTCCTGCTTGCCAGCAAGAAGGTCCTTGTGAGCATGAGCAGAAACTGACATATCTGAAAACTGCCCATTAGTTCAAGTACAGTCTATTAGAAACCCCACAACCTCTAGCCTTGAGGCTTCAAGTTTTGGTTAACATTATGGGTGGCATCTGACCTAGAGCACTTGGAAATCTCATCCACTTATGATGGCTCATATGTGCTCTGCTCTCCATCCAGGCAGGAGATGACTCATGGTGCCTGGTCCTCATACCAAGATTTGTTTTGCTGCTATCTCATCTTCCTGTTTTCTTGTCCGTTCTCCCTGTTCCTTTGTTCTGCTTGCCCAGCATGTGCTGTGGTAACTGACATTGGAAGCTGTGTGGGCAGGGAATGGGTTTTGGTTTTAATAAAGAAATGTGGTTACATCATCTTGCACAACAGGTCCCTTCTCTGTGGCTGGGCCAAATGAGTCTTTTCGAGTTGCAAAAATATGGAAAACTCAGAGTTGCCGGAATAAAAAAAAATAAAAATATTATAGCATGGTCAGATAGTAGAACAGGCTACCTGAGCCCTGGAAGTGTCCAAGGCCAAGTTGGATGGGGCTTGGAGCAACCTGATCTAGTGGGAGGTGTCCCTGCTCATGCAGGAGGGGTGAAACTAGATCTTGAAGGTCCCTTCCAACCCAAATGATTCTATGCATAACAACACACTCTAGGCTTCTCCCTGCATGGTGTCTTCCAGGTATACCTGGCAACAAGGAACAGAGAGAGCTGAGTACTAAGAACAGCTGAAGCAGAGGGCACTTAGTAGTATTTTGGCTAATTGCCAGCTTGCCTGGTCCTGAAAAATTTGCCTGTGCTGAGCTAGGCATAATTTTCACATGTGGATAAATGGGATGGGTGTTGGTAGGGATTTATATTTTCCTAATGCTTCCCACGGTCAACTATGTGAAGGTTCATGTAGCCTTGAGGTCTGTGTTTCCAGCTCAGAGAGCCCTTCAGGCCTTCTTTAAAAGACTTGGAAAACCATAGCAGCTGATCAGACCAAGGAAAGAAATTGCAATTTTGGAGAGCACCAGATGTAAACTTAAAAAAAATGAAGAAGTATTCTTGTGTTTTGTGGGTTTGGGGGGATTTTTTTTTTTTAGCTTGTTTGCTTGATTCTTCTTCTTTTAGTAAATCCAGATGACTAACTCAGGGCCTCTTTTTTTCTTCCCTGCAGGCAGAACAAAGTCTCTGATGATTTGCCTGCTTCAAAAGGTCCCCACTGATTTTACCTTTGGGTCTGTTCTACCATCCCTCATTGTTTCATGTAAGCATTTTCTGTGGTAATTAGACTGGTAATAGCATGATCCCTGGTGGCCTTCCTGGAGTGCCTGGCCTCTCTGAGTTGGGAAAGCTCTGCTTGGGGGCAGCATATTTTTTCTCTAAATGGGAAGAGTTGATGTTGTGAATGTTGCCCTGATTATAATGGAAAAATCTTTTGAAAGAGGAAAGTTTTGCAGCATTTCCTAGGAGTGATTCAGGCGACATTTTTCTGATTTCCTCTGGAAGCTCACAGCAACCTTGACAGTGCATGTTTTGTCCCTGGCTGCTTCCTTCTGAGCTCTGTGGTCTGCATTGTCCCAGAGGAACGCAGATATCTCAGTGATTTGTGCATGCAGGTGCAGGCAGTTTTTGTAGCTGGGCACAGATATGTTCAGAGCTTTGAAGACCAAGACCTTGAACTGGCAGTGGAAGCAGATTAGAAACTCTTCAGCTTCCTAAAATGCAACACCTACAGTCATATGAACTTCTCTGTGAGGCAACAAAGGAAAAAAACTTGTGTATTAAAGGCTTAAAAAAAATTAGGTAGAGATTTGACATTTTACCTTTGTTGCCTTTCCTCTCAATGATTTTTGCATAACTTTTGATATGAATGCTTCTAATTTCAAGATTATCCTTTTGGGATATAACAAAATTAAGACAGTCTTTCAGAAGTAGAGGCACAGGAAGAAAAGAGATGTCCGGGGAAGAAATGCAATGGGAATTTACAGAGCAGAAAGGGTTTGGAAATCTTTGTTTCAGAAGCTTGGCTCCAGAGCTGGATTCAGGGGTTTTCTGCCACAAGAACACAGTTTGATTTGCAACTCCAGAAGCTCTTCCTTCTGTATAAGGAAGAGGACTGGCCTGGAGTGGGGCTTGGCTGACTGATCTTGTGCCCTTGGACACATCCTGTGCCTCAGGTCCCACAGGCATTGAGCAGAAGGGTTGCTGTAGATGGTCTTCATAAAGCCTATTTGAGATCTGCCCATGAGGAGTGATCCGGGTGGTATTTTTGTTGTTGTTTGCACAGAAGCAGTGTGATCCAAAGTCAGGGAGCCCTGCACAGAATCAGGTTTATGACCCAAGTCCTGTTTGAAGAACACTCAGAGCCTGAATTTAATTGCTGTAGGTGTCTGTGGGGGCTCTGTGCAGGGGAACTGGTGCTCACAAACAGCGTGGCTGGGGCCTTTGTCACTCCCAGTGGCAGAGCAGCCCCCGTGTCAGGGGTGCTGGTTTGAACGTCTGTCTGTTCCAACCCCTCCTCCACCTCCTTGGTGAGGAGTGGGGTGAGGACTGGGACCAGCAGGGCATTCACCCTTCCAGCATTCCCAGCTGTCACACACATGAGGCTGTTTTTATGTTCTGGACTAACTGATTTTACCTCAGCAACACTTTCATGCAAACTGAGGGGGTTTTCCCACTTTATTTTTTGTTCTGTCCAGGGAAACAGCAGAGAACCCCCTGCCTGCCACATGGAAGAAGAAACAAGGTGAGACTTGAGTATTTCCCTCTGGTTCATGAAAACACCTGGAGTTCTCCTTTCTGCCGGCTTTTGGGTTGGGAAGGATTTCCCAGGTGCCCCGAGTGCCTCCCTTGCCCGAGAGATGCAAACAAAACAAAACCAAACAAGCC